CACTTGTCGTGCACCACTCGGGATAATTCGCGACTGCAACCGTTGGAACAGCCGCTTCCCTGTGACTTTAAGATTGAAGTATGGAAGACTTTTTTTTTTTTTTTTTTTTACTGAAAGCAAGCAATTAATCAAAGCCTGTCCTTCTGGTTAGTTTTCTAAGCCAAAACAAGGCTTTCTTGGGCTACTCTATAAAGCATGGACCTCACTCTAATTTTGACATTTTGAATTGAAAAAGTTTCCTGGGTGGGAAGCAAAAAGTCTTCAAAGTTGGAAAACAAAGTCCACTGGTGTGTTTAGCCCAAGAGTTCCAGAGCTTTCCAGGTACAATTTTGGTTGCTATGCAATGGTACCCAGAACGTCAATCATTGGGGGAATTTACAATGCCATCAAAATAACGTCTTTGGAGGGTTGAGATAAAATTAACGATATTTATTTTATTTAAAAACCTATGTGAAAATGAAGGAGATATAGAAACAGAAAAAGGCATTTAACATGGCCAACATAAGATTAATGTAAATAAAGTTATTTCACTTTGAAATCTCAAAACCGTCAAAATGACTGCCATGGGAATTCTAGTTTTAATAATTCAGCAAACCTTTTTAGTCCACTTCAGAACACTGCTTTGTGTTGGTTGTTTAGCGGATGTGGCAACTATCCTTAGGCATTGCTTTATTATTTTTGAATGACTTATGTTCATCTTCTTTCCCCAGTTGCTTTCAGAATAACGTGGAAATCCACGTGTCACACATTCAGAGCGGTCTGAGTCAGCTGGGCAATCTGCACGCGTTCGCTGCCAACAACACCAATGCAGTCTGAGTCCCTGCATCCTCCCTTCCACACACACAGGTGCATGCACACACCGAAGCGAGGCCCATTACTGCCGTCTCTTTAAAACGGAGCTCTTAAGGCTACAAACGTGGCCCACGTGGACTCTTGTGGCTCACCTGACTTTGGACGACGGTTGGCCCGGACTCCGGAGTTTTGAATCCAAACAGAGGGAAGGTGTCATGTATTTTACCCTCCTATTTTATTGTATGGAAAATGTTTGCGCAACCAACCAACCAACCATTACAAGCCAGAAACAGTCTCCCATCTATCATTGAACCCTACATCCACCTGCCACAGATCACATCTCCATGCTCTTGGGTTTTATTTATTGGTTTCCATGTGCCAAACATTGATTCTAACAGTTTTTATAGTCTGTATTTATTTATTTTTGCATAGATGTGTATGGTTGTGGGAAAAAAAATAATATTTGCTATCCCTAATGTTTCCCCCTGTAAGTGTTTTGTTCTGTTGCTTCACTGTTAGCAAGCACAGGGAAAGTTAAAGAATGTTTTATAAAAACCATTTGTAGATAATTGTATAATTATTTAGAAACATTTCTGCTGTATGCTCAGAAATGTTCTTTTGGTAATTTTTGTGTGCACTGAAAGAGATTTTTGGTATTTTTATAAAGGTGAATTGTTGGGTTTTGATGCCTTTTACTCCCTAAGATCTTAGCATTTCCTCCTCAGGCATGGCTACTGCTGCTGCAACCCCTCATAAATAAAAGCCTGCATTATTGACTTAACTCTAGCGATCTCAAGTCAACACTTCCTTCCTGTTTGTTCTGTACAGATGTATATGAAAGCGCCTCAGGGCAATTGTACATAAATGTTTCCCTCTTTTTATATTAAACATATGATTGCAACAGCTTTTGGTCATTGAATTTTATTCACAAATAAAATCCAGTTAATACAAATAGTTTTAAACACTTGGACTTAATACAGCTTTATAATAAATACAGATTTTCATTATTATTGTACATGCAAGTTCTTAACGTCGACACATTCACATAAAGCCACCAAAGCCAGCCATGGCTTCGCTCTCCCAGTCTGAATCCGAGTCGCTGACTTCCTGTGCCTCCATGCTGTAGATTGGAGAAAACTGGTTGAAGCTCTCTGTGGCTCTCAGATGTGGATACTGCAGGTGGCATTCCTTTTCCTTCGGAGAGGACCTGTTGAAGCCGTTTTGGGTCGGCAAGGGAGGAATCACAACTTTCATCTCTGGTCCGATGGTTTTATTTGGCGGGAAATTGTCGTACTCCACCAGAACCTTTGGGCCCTGGCTGCCAGGCATGTTGGTTTTCATTCTCGGATGGTTCCCCAGCTCACTGGGATAAAGAGGGACGCTGCAGCTCTGGACGGAGCCTGCAGGCCTAATCAGCTGCATCTGCTCATCTGTGGCTCTTGTTGCTTTATCGTAGATGCAGGAGGGTAGCATGTGGTCGTAACTAGTGGATTTGGTCTGAACACTGGTCCTTAGAACATCCTCTGCACTGTGCTCCATCGAGGGCCTAACACTCTCCTCCAAACCAAAAGCTGCTGTCTTGCGTAGCTCAGAGCTGTGGCTATCATATGCTGCAAATAAAAAAGGTGTAGGTCAGGAAAAGCCCCCCATACATCTAAGGTTTTCTTGAGAACATTTCTAATAATCACCTTTCTCTGGAGCCATTCTGCAGGGTAGTTGCCCAAAGTGATGTCCTGACGGTGTGCTGGATGCTTTCGTGGATAACGATGAACCAACTTGGCGACGAGACTTAGCCCTTCTGTTCTGAAACCACACCTGAGATGAAAAGCAAAATAAGAACATATCCTCCAGGCTCTAATTCTTGTCCTTTCTTTTGTGAAATCAGTCCCCCTACCTGAATCCTGGACTCTGGCAGCCCGGTCAGAGCCTCCAGTCTCTCTCTCAGGTAGATGTCTGGATATTTGGTGTCAGAGTAAACCTTCTCCAGCATCTCTATTTGCTGCTGGGTAAAGTTGGTCCTTTTCCTCCTGTGGGTCAATATGGCAACGCACTTGTCTGCCCTCCCACTAGATGTTGAGTTGAAGTAGTTTGGAACATCTGAGGCTCCATAATCTGGAGAGATTGGAAGAAATCATTTAAATAACCTGCTTTGGTAGTTCTAGGTCACACATACCAGATGTTTTTAGATCTCCCAGACACTGACCTGAAGTCACCGCGCCGTTCATCTGCAGAGGCCGCTCCTGAAACATCTGAAAGTTACTGAGATCCCCGACGCGCATATTCCCATGAACCGCAGACATGGTCCGACTGAGAGCTTTTTGCTTGCTCGACTTTATAAATCCCTCCGCGATCAAAGGCAGATGCTGTCCGGAAGTGTGAATGGGTCAGCCATCGGGGCCGACTGGCACTGGAGCGGCCGCTGCAGCGACTTCAGACGTCTGCGGGGCGCGTGGAGGTGTGAAGCCATGACACCCGGAGCGGGTGGAGAGGCCGCGAGCCTGTTCAAAGGCGGGGGTTAATGGAAGCTGAGGGACTCAATACACATCGGCAGAGAAAACATTTATCCGCTTTTGCATGAGCGAAGCTCCGCTAATGGAGCCGGTGGGCTTCAAAGAGGGACGGTAGGAAGCTGGACGGAAATTATCCCAACTGAGCACAAGTTCAAAGGGATCTGTGTGACGTTGCCTTCCAACCAAACTGACAGGACAGTCAGAGAATATTTGCTGTGCACTCTACAAATCTGGCCTTTATGGATAACATGCAAAAAAACAAAAAAAAAAACAAACAAACATAAAATCATGGATGGAAATTCAAAAGACAGATTATATCTCTCCTATCCTGGCTTCTCTTCACATGCATCCTGTTAAATCCAAAATAGAATTTAAAATCCTGCTTCTCACATATAAAGCCTTAAATGGCCAAGCTCCGACTTGTATCTGAGGTATGATTGTTCCTAACAGAGCACTTTGCTCTCAATCTGCAGATTTACTAGTGGATGTGGGGGGCAGATCTTTCCTCTCCTGTGGAACCGACTACCAGTTTTAGTCTGTGAGGACTTTTTGCTGCAGGCCTAAAACTTTGCTTTTTGATAAAGCTTATAGTTAGAGTGGCTCAGGTTATCTATATAGTTATGCTGCTATAGGCTTAGACTGCTGGAGGACATAGGGACCCCTATTTCATCATTTTGCTTCATTCTATCTCTTTTATTCCACTCTGCAGAATCTGTTAGTTTAATTTCTAAAGTTATGATCTGTTCCTGTTTGGCTGTGACACCACCCTTGGAGAGAAATATCAGCTGTGCTGCTGCCATCAACACCTTTATTTATGTTGGAGATCGGCCTGTTTTCCAGTGCAGTCCTGTTTCTCTGACTGTGACTGGCTGGATGTGCTCTCTTCATCCTCTGGCATGGGAGTTGGCTCGGAGCTTGTCTGCCTGGCTGTGTGTTTCCTGGACAGGGCCGCTTTCTACAGTTGTTTTTTGTATCNCCTGGTTCTGCTGGAGGTTTCTTCCTGTTAAAAGGGAGTTTTTCCTCTCCACTGTCGCTACAAGCATGCTTGGTGTGAGGGATTGCATCCGAGTCAATGCAATCAACTGGTTTTCCATAGATAGAAAATTTTGAATTAATTTGACTGTGTGATCTGGTGAACTATAAAGTGCCTTGTGATGACATGTGTTGTGAATTGGTGCTATATGAATAAACTGAATTGAATTTGAAATATTGATTACAGTTTCCTTCAAGCTACAGAAAACAAAACAAAAACAAACAAACAAAAAAACAGCAAACAACAGTGAACCTTTTGGTTGATATACAAACTGTGATGTGACAGAGTACGCATCATCCCCCTGTGGTACATGGTAGTGGCAGCATCATGCTTCAGCAGAAAAAAGGAAAGGGTCAGAGATGCTGAATGTAAATACAGTAAAAAAAAAATAAATAAACATGAAGAAATACTATTGAACTCATTAAAACCAGACTGGGACAGATGATCCACTTCCAACAGGACAGCCCAATCAAAGTCCAGACCTAAATCCATTAAAAAAATGCTGGCAGCATCAAAAACTGCCATTCATAAATGTTTTCTGTCCAATCAGACAGATATTTGCAAAGATTAACTGAGAAACATTACAGTCTCTTGATGTTGAATAGAGAAAACTATAACAGATAAACCCCAAAGGACTTAAGGCTGAAACTGAGCTAAAAGCCAAAAAAATAAATAAAAACAATGTTGAAACTGTAACGATACAGTCGTTTGTTTACATTTTCACTGCTGCTTACCTTTATCAAGGCTGCACTTTAAAAAATGAAAATGTCTAGAGAGCTGTAATGAACAAAATTTCTATTTGTATACACTTGCGTGTACAAAATGACAAAGTCTATGTTTAAAAGGTGGTTACAAAAATATTTACTGCAAAGTGTTGGATACAGACCATGCCAGACTTTTTAGGTTTTCAGTTATGCATATATTGTGTCCATCTATATCACATAAAATCCCGATAAGATCAATTCAAATGTGCAGCTGCATCATCCAGCTATTTAAATAGTTAGCTTGTGTGTTTTTAAAGATAATCCTCTCTTGAAATTAGAGCTAATTGGAAACGATGTGAGTCAGAATACACAACCTCTATAGTTGAAAGGAGATCTAAAGGATCGGGGAGTTATTGTATAGGACAAGTCATGGGAGATCAAGTCAAGAAGTCAGACAGAATGTTTTGGCTCCTTTTGGTTGTACAAGATCAGTAAGAAATAGCTTGGAATAATTTAACGGTGCATTCAAACACAGTTTTAGTTGTTTTATAGAACAGTTCTTTAAGAAATGAATGTTTCTCCTCCTGGTAAGAAACTTCTGGGTGTGGATTGACTTCCACATTGCAACACTGAATCACTAAATTAAATCCAGACTCTGACTCACAGGATTTATAAGATATATTGCTTGCTGTGGTAAACCACAAGGAAAAAGCCTCAATGTTTGGCAGGGGAATCATATTTTATATCACCCAGCCTGTGAGTAGCAGCGAACTTGCTGGCTTTGTGAATTAACTCAATGCTATTTCCCATCAGCATCAGTACTTATTGATCTCAGCGCTTTAACGCCTTCACCTTTGTTCAGGTAGGATGTTCTCCTTGGTTAGGACATTCAAAGTTCTGTCGGTCGCTCTGTCTGAGGACCGTAATTGGGTATTGCATGTGAACACAGACCATATTGCTATGCAAAATCGGGGTGTTAAACTTCCAGGTCCCTTGTGACTGTCAGTGTAATCTCCTCTGAGAGCTGTGGATTTTGGAATCGACAATATGCTTCCCAGAGTTCTGACCTACAGAAACAAGCCAGAAACTCTGCAAATTTAGCCCTACAGCTACAAGAAAATACACAGAATTAATTTTTTCTTTTCTTTGATTTTTGCTGAAGGGGGCATTTTGTTTAAGACTGCAGAAACAAAAGTGTTAAATAATATAATTCTGTTTGTGTGCAACTAAGACTGCACTTCAGACACCAGAGACACGTAGGGATTAATGACCATTTCCAGTCAGCAGCTTCTTCAGGATCCCAAAACAAAACACGTTCACACCTTTTAAAGACTTGGCAAACTAACAGTTTGATCTGACTCGCATGCATTTGTTCTACAGACAGGCTGGTACATCATCCTCAAAGGTTTGCAGAGATATGTGAAAGTGTCAGCTACCTTATGAGCCTTTCCTTTTAGTGCAGTCTTTGTGTATTTGGGAAATATTTCGGTTTAAGATAAGTATGGACAGGTTCTTGAGGCAGTCTGTGTACTGTTAACTTTTTTAAAAAGCATAACTTATTCTAACTTTTTATGTGAACTTTATAAAGCATATGTAGAAAAAGATAATGGCAGCATTGTGAAAGGCATTAGGTTGGTTTAGATCACTGAATGAGGTAATTTTTCATTATTTACCATAATTGTTGTTTTTTTCTTATTTTTCTCCCCAAATTATCTTCTGTTTAAGATGTGTCTCTTTATCTGTGTTTGGTTATATTTTTAAACATGAATTTAATTACCTTTTACATGACTGCTTTGCTTGCTTGAGTAATTCAAAGAACTATTTTGATATTTTATCTTCATGCATAACATCACAACTTAAATTTGGGTTTATTCACAAACAATATTCAGAGAATAACAAACAATTTAAACTATTTCTAGAAGTACCTTATTACATCTGTATAATAAATACAAACTTTCATTACGCTCTCTTTGGTGTAGATTTTAGTGATAAAATTTTATGTAAAAAACAACCAAACATAAAAATACATATTGTCTTCCAATGGTACAAAATGTAATGAAAAGTATTTGGTTCCTCAAAGGATTTTTTTTTCTCTTTTTTTCCACACTTAAATATTTAAGATGACCTAACATGTTTGGATCTTGATATTCTCTGTCAGGATTCCTGGTTGCATTCATCAAAACACATCATCCAGGTTCTGAAGAGACATATCAGCCCCAGACCATCACACTACCACTACCATGTTTGACTGTGGGTATGATACTTTTCGCTAATGCTCAGTAAAAAGTAGTTGTGATGGAACATATGCCCTCTAAAAACTCCCATTTATGTCTTTATTTGAACAGCAAGAATGAACGAATACTCAATTTGTCTAATTCTCATGTTGTCCTCATATATATTGGCAGTCAGCCAAAAACGTGACATCAGAATAGGTGGGTGAATGAATGAATATGAAATATGATTATGGTTAGTTTATTTGGAAATGCTTTATTTGATTTATATAATCTATTAATATATATAATTATGTAAATCAAAGTTAAAAGGGTGTACAATTACGGAAGAGGATTCGGGCCACTGAAGAAATAAATAAAGTTAACTGATTTCTAAATACTATTTCAGTTTAATAGGGAAAAACGTCAGAATTCTGACTTTTTTCTCAGAATTCTGACTTTAATCTTAGAATTCCGACTTGTTTCCAAGAATTCTGACTTGTTTCCCGGAATTATGACTTTAATCTCAGAATTCTGACCTTTTTCTCAGAATTCAGACTGATTTTTTTCCCAGAATTCTGACTTTAATCTCAGAATTCTGATTTTGTTTTAACCAGAATTCTGGCTTTAATCTTAGAATATTGACTTCAATCTCAGAATTGTGATTTTTGTTTTAGCCAGATTTCTGACTTTAATCTCAGAAATGTGATTTTTGTTTTAACCAGAATTCTGACTATAATCTTAGAATTCTGACCTTTTCCTCAGAATTCTGACTTTTTCCCCAGAATTCTGACTTTAATCTCATAATTCTGACTTTTTTCTCAGAATTCTGACTTTAATCTTAGAATTCTGACTTTAATCTTAGAATTCTGACTTTTTTCTCAGAATTCTGACTTTAATCTTAGAATTCTGACTTTAATCTTAGAATTCTGATTTTGTTTTAACCAGAATTCTGACTTTAATTTCAGAATTCTGACTTTAATATCAGAGTTGTGATTTTTGTTTTAGCCAGAATTCTGACTTTAATCTCAGAAATTTGATTTTTGTTTTAACCAGAATTCTGACTTTAATCTCAGAAATTTGATTTTTGTTTTAACCAGAATTCTGACTTTAATCTCAGAAATGTGATTTTTGTTTTAACCAGAATTCTGACTTTAATCTCAGAAATGTGATTTTTGTTTTAACCGGAATTCTGACTTTAATCTCAGAATTCTGACTTTAATCTCAGAATTCTGACTTTAATCTCAGAATTCTGACCTTTTCCTCAGAATTCTGACTTTTTCCCCAGAATTCAAACTTTAATCTCAGAATTGTGATTTTTGTTTTAGCCAGGTTTCTGACTTTAATCTCAGAAATTTTATTTTTTGTTTTAACCAGAATTCTGACTTTAATCTCAGAATTCTGACTTTAATCTTAGAATTCTGACCTTTTTTCTCAGAATTCTGACTTTAATCTCAAAATTTTGGATCTTAATGTAGATGGGCACCATGAAGGAAGAAATGTGGTATATGGAAGAGTGTAATTTAATATGTGTATATGCAAGTTAATTCTGATTTATGTCCCTGGGGGCACCTCATAGCAATCAGCTTCACTGACAAAGATGTGAGTTGTTTGAGAAGGCCATTGACACATAGGTGGACTTTTTACGTGCCCGAGGGGTCCCTGGCGATGCTATTTCATTAATGGAGGAGCAGAAGGTGATTAAAACAATTCTCTAAAACAGACATGGCTACGGCTTGATGCTAACATGGTTTAAAGTCAGATTTCTGAGAAAAAGACAGAATTCTGAATTTTTTCTCATATTATACTGAAATAAAATAAAAAATCAGTTAACTTTTTTTTTTTTTTCCAGTGGCACTACTGCTCTTCTGAATGCCATCCAGTGCATCGCTAGTTAAAGCCTCGTCACAGTTTACTTGTTAAAAAAAAAAAAAAAACGGATGTTCCGGCTGATCTTAGCGGAAGTAGGTACGTGGCTGCTTCAGCTGACAGTCTACAATGATGGCGACAGAGGTTCAGAGCGGCGACCTCGACAGCGCTACGACCAGCCGGCTCGAAGTTTCCATCGACGGCCTCACTCTCAGCCCGGACCCGGAGGGTGAACAGAACCAAGTCGAAGAACCGAATCCGGCACCGGCTCCACCTGAGCTCGAGAAGCCGGTGGACGAAGAGGGCGACGATGGAGAGTCAACCAAACCTGCGATAGAGAGGAAATGGGGCTTTCCTTTACAGGAGCTGTACGGACTGGCCCTTAAATTCTTTAAAGGTATTTTACACATTAAAACAAAAACGGGTTTGACGCAGAGGAAGTGGGGGTTAAAAAAAGCGCGTGGTACTTTTGTGAGCACGGTTTGCTCCTAGCTGTGCTTAGCATTTAGCTAGGACTAGCTGCTAACTGTCAGGCGCATATCAGCTTTCTGGCTAATCAGTAGCTAACGAACATGTTAGCTGACCGTTGAGGCTTAAAACAGGAACGACACGTTTGAGGAGTGATGGAGAGAAGTTATTTTTCTATCCTGTAGGCGTTTTTTTGTGGTTTAGGTCGATAGAGAACATGTCAAGTCGACTGGAGCAGTTGTCCACTCTGAACTGTGGAGGCAGCGGCTTGTTTGGGGGCTTTTAACACGCCCTGTCTTTGCACTGCAGCCCAATGAAACCATGCAAGGTTGTATATTGCACAACCTATAAAGTTAAAGAATGATCTTTAAGTACCAACTCATTATTTTTAGGGTAAGCCTTATTTTATAACAGAATGGTAACACTTGTTTTCTGCCTAACTACATACTGACCCTTACTAATCAGTTGTTACCCCTACAGACCACCACCATGTCGTTTAAACGAGTCGATTCCTTCAATCGAACCCCAGTCGACCACAGCAGATTGCCGTTCACACTGAGCCTGGTTCTGCTGGAGGTTTCTTCCTGTTAAAAGGGAGTTTTTCCTCTCCACTGTCACTGCAAACATGTTAAATGTGAGGGATTGCCTTCTAGTCAATCAACTGGTTTTCATTAGATAGAAAACCTTGAATCAATTTGACTGTATGATCTGGTTGAATTGGATCTGTAAAGTGCCTTGAGATGACGTGTTGTGAATTTGCACTATATCAATATACTAAATTGAATTGAATTATCTTCATCCCTGTAATCATCCCTTGCCTCAACTGGAATATCTTTTTTTCCTTCGGCTTAAAATGGCAAAATACTCATGTTACATTTGTGATTTAACAGATCAAATTCCATTCAGTTAAACTGATTATTTTATTTAGCTGTTTCCTACTTTATCAAAAAGTCAATAACTTAAACTTTAAGTTCTTTTCAATGTATTTGTTTTGTTTGTTTTTTGCTCCATAATCCTAACCTAATGGATGACTTAATCAATGTGAATCCCTGCAAAGTTTAATTTAACATGAGAAGGAATTTCCTTCTAAATAATAACCCAAGAATTTCACTAATATTTTAATCCCATAAACAAAAAGTTGATTTGTAAGGATGTACTAAAGTGTGAACAACCTCTAGCTGCAGACATGTGGGTTGTTTTTATTCGCACACCACTCTGCTGATCACTGTGCAAACAGCTGCAGTCTGCACACAAAAAATCTCTGCTATGTATTTTTTTTCCTCAGTGTGTGTTAATTCTACTTGTTTACATACCAAACTGTACACAATCTCACTAGCTCTCCTAAGTTAACCAGAACCCTCTATATATTTGTCCAGATATCACCTCCGCATTGCAACACATAATAGTTGTAGCAATATTAATCAGCCATTTAAAAGGCTTTCACAAAGCACCCCTGCTTAGTTAGCTACAGTTGTCATGGTGACATCCTGATCTAATAATCTGATATAATTGTTTATGGGTTTATGCATAGATGGTCATAGTTATTTTAGATTGTTAAAGACTAAAACAAATCTTGCATATTTTAGTTTCTGGTGTATTCTCTTTGTTGGTTGTCAGAGGTTTGTCAGAATATTTTAATGTTTTTTTTCATGCTTCACAGAAAAATATGTGCATACTATTTTTTTTTTTTTTGATTAGATAAAGATGGTAAAGCCTTCCACCCTACATATGAGGAGAAGCTTCGACTTGTGGCCCTCCACAAACAGGTTTTGCTGGGCCCTTATAACCCCGATGCTTCACCAGAAGTCGGCTTCTTCGATGTCCTGGGAAATGATCGCAGGTAAGCCCCAGAACATTACATTACTGTAGTGTGAATTATGTAGTTTTCCTATTTATCAGAAAGCTTCACCGTTTTATTACCTCTAAAGCTAAATTTAATTAAAACATATATGGGTGCTGATCTCTTTTGGTGGAGTAGATTAATATTTATACAGTTTTCTGATTAGCAGATGGTTATTATGGCTGTTTATTCGTGATTTGATTGTACTGTTTATCTTCCATGTGCAGGAAGGAGTGGGCCTCCTTAGGTAATATGGAAAAAGAAGATGCAATGGTGGAGTTTGTGAAGCTTCTCAACAAGTGCTGTAACCTCTTCGCTCCTTACGTCATATCACACAGAATTGAAAGGGAGGAGCAGGAGCGGAAAAGGTGAAGAGTATAGTTTGAAATTTGGCACTTTGTAAAAGCAATGCATAGTTCACTTAGGAGTTTGGTATTAAAATTTTATATATTAATGCAAAGGTAACTGAAATTTTAAGAACAATTTTGATTACTAAAAATGGTTTGACTTTTGAGTTACACATATTTTTTGCCCCATTCAGGAAAGAAGAGGAGGAGCGACTGAGACAGGAGGAGGAGGAGAGGGAGCGACAAAGGCAGGAGGAGGAGAGACGAAGGATTGAGGAGGAGGAGAGGTTGCGAAGAGAGGAAGAGGAACAGAGGCAGGCAGAGTTGGAGAGGCTACGGATTGAGCAGCAGAAGTATGTATTTATTGTTGGGTAAAACGCAAACTGATCTCTCCTCAATGTTTTTCATCGTGTTTTATTTAATATTTAATGTTTTACTGCTGGAAACTCAGCTTGATGCTGAGTTCACATTCAAATCAGTTTCCCTTAACTTGCAAACTGTTCTGGCGTTCTGTTTTATTCCTTGCATATCTTTTCTGACAAAGCTTCCCGCTGTCATTTTAACCAGACAACAGATAATGGCAGCATTGAACGCCCAAACAGCAGTGCAGTTCCAACAGTATGCCGCTCAGCAGTACCCCAACAATCCAGAGCAACAGATGAGCCTTATCCGCCAGCTTCAGGAGCAGCACTATCAGCAGTACATGCAGCAGCTCTACCAGGTCCAACTGGCTCAGCAGCAGGTAAGAAGACAACTTGAAGCAGCTCAGTTTACAAAAAAGAAACGCTTTCCAAAGTATTTATAACCTTTATACTTTACGTTGTATGTTATTAAATGTGTGGGCGCCAAACAAGAGATTCTGTTAAATATATCTGATATTTGTGCACCCACTCTTGACCTATTGTTCAATTTTAGTGAGATGTTGCTTCTCCAAATTAGAAAGCAAGAGGATCTAATTATGATATGCTACGATTCAATACATTTTAATTTTCAAGATATGTTTTTTTTTTTTTTTTTCACGCTATGTACCCCTCTATTTTTCATTACTTTGTGTTGTTCCAGCACATGATTGGAATGCATGGAAGGAAGTGTAAACAATGCAATGTTTTATGTTTTTAAATCTGCAATTTTCATTTCAATTAAATTAGTTAATTGTTTCCCTTTGGTTATTTATTTATTTGTACTGGTTCATTTTATGATATAATTCTTTGCTGTTCTCATTGTGTCCCAGGCGGCCTTACAGAAGCAGCAGCAGCAGCAGAATGATTCAGCTCTGCAGGGTACCTTTGATTCCAACAGCTTTAACAGTGCTGAAATCACGTCTGCATCAGCGGCTGGAACGTTATGTGCTGCTTCACCACTTTCCAGTGAGGAAGCTCCTACTGTCAATGGAGGCCAGTCAGACTCTTACTCTGAGAGCATGGACAAAGAGCCGGAGCCAGAGCCTGCAGTCGAAGTCTCTGAGAACGGGCCTTTATTAGGTTTGTAGGCTGTAGCTGTATTTTTTCCCTCTCATTGGAAAAAAAAAAAACATAAGTGCAGGATTTGAACTCATGAAGACGGATCCACATTTTCCCTTTAGTGCAGCTAATGGCAGAAGGAAGTGGAACACTCTGCTCACTTATATGACCTTGTGGGCTGGGAGGATGAGTGCTTGACGCATGATATGATTTAGGTTTTATCTGAACACAATTTCTACTAACGAAGGAAAAACAGTCAAGCAGAAAATGAGCAAAGTATTGGATTGACATACGGGGACAACTAGTGTCCCTTAAAGAGATCGAGTGGATAAAAAAATAACAGTTATAAGTGTGTAAGCAAAAAATCTTTTACTTGTAAACATGTGGCCTTTCTTCGGTTGCTGTCATGAACTTTATAAACGAGTAATTAATCAGCCTGTTGGAGCTGCTGGTTGTTTGAAATTTGGTTTCTTTATAGTGGAACCAATCACCTGGGAGTGTAATATTTATCTTCAGGGTAGGGCTAGGCTCACAGTGTTATTGCAGATTCTCTTCAACAGATTACAAAACGTCTGTTTCTCTTTAATCACAGCAGACTCTCCACCAGTCATAGCCGCGCCGTCCATGTGGACGCGGCCGCAGATCAAGGACTTCAAGGAGAAAATCCGCCAGGATCCCGACAGCGTGATCACAGTGGGGCGTGGCGAAGTTGTGACGGTGCGCGTTCCCACCCACGAGGAAGGATCTTACCTGTTCTGGGAGTTTGCTACAGACTATTATGACATTGGCTTTGGGGTGTTCTTTGAGTGGACAGACGCTGCCTCTGCTTCAGTCAGTGTGCACGTGTCGGAGTCCAGCGACGAAGACGAGGATGATGAAGGTAAGGGATGGCTTGGAGTGTGTGATTCCTGCTGAAATGTAGCTCACAGTGGCTGCTAGTGAAATAAAAGCTGTGACCTCTATTCAACATGATTTTATTGATGATATTCTTTTCACCTTAAACTGCCTGAACCTTTGATGGATTTCTTTTCATGATTTAGTTAAAGCTTCTAAAAGTTCAAAATACTCTAAAGTAAACATTTTCTGGTAACTATAGCTGTAAAAACCGCTGTAGTAATGGGAAATGTAGGGCGTCATCTTTCAGAGATCTGATTTTGCAGTGTTGGTGTGTGTGCATGGAGTGGGATGGTAGTTATGCCTGTCTGTGCCCCATACAGCAGTAGAAAACTGGTCATCATAGTACTTTATAGTGTCACATAGTTTGTAGAAGGAAAATGTTATTGAGTGTGAGGATGTAACTTTTAAAACCTCAGTCGACCTTGGCAGATAGCCGCTTAAACTGAGCCTGGTTCTGCTGGAGGTTTCTTCCTGCTAAAAGGGAGATTTTCCTCCCCCCTGTCGCTTCAAGCATGATTAGTGTCAGGGATTGCCTTTGAGTCAATGAGTCGATGCAATTAACTGGTTTTCCTGTGGAACTATGGAGGCAGCGGCTTGTTTGGGGGCTTTTAAAACGCCCTTTCTTTGCACTGCAGACCAATGAAACCATGCAAGGTTATATATTGCATAACCTATGAAGTTATAGAGTTACCTTTAAGTACCAACTCATTACTTTTTTACAACAGAATCTCCTAACTACATACCGACCCTTACTAATGATTTGTTACCTCTACAGAACACCATGTCATTTAAAGGAGTCGATTCCTTCAATCGAACCCCAGTCGATCTCGGCAGATGGCCGCTCACACTGAGCCTGGTTCTGCAGGAGGTTTCTTCCTGTTAAAAGGGAGTTTTTCCTCTCCACTGTCACTTTAAGCATGCTTAAGGGATTGCGTTCGAGTCACTGGGTCGATGCAATCAGCAATCAACTGGTTTTCCTTAGATAGAAAACTTTGAATTAATTTGACTGAATGATCTGGTGAACTGTAAAGTGCCTTGAGATGACTTGTTGTGAATTGGCGCTATAGAAATAAACTGAATTGAATTATCTTGATCCCTGTAATCATCCCTTGCCTCCACACGAATATCTTTATTTTTTGGCTTAAAATGTCAAAATACTCATGTTACATTTGTGATTTAACAGATCAAATTCAGATCAGTTTATTTTTATATCTGGTTCCAACTTTATAAACACGTCAAGTTCTTTTCAGCTGAATTGTTTGTTTTTTGTTCCATAATCCTAACCTAATGGATGCTTAACCAATGTGAATCCCTGCAAATTTCAATTAAATGCAAAAGGGAATTTCCTGCTAAATAATGCACAGGTGTTGGTAGCTAGTTTTCCTCTAGCTCAGAAAGCAGATGAGAAGTTATTGTTACTGATAACAGAATGGATGGTTAGTAGGCAGTGGCAGGGCGAATTTCTTCTGGTTGAACAACTGAAGTCAACATAGCATTTTTTGTTGCTCAATAATGTTAGATGATGTGCATTTTTCACAACCGGAAATATTTCTTAACAGCCATATTCTAAATGCAAAGGGAAAAGTGTAGCTGGGTTTCTTTAAGCCAGATGGCTGGCAGTGTGCAGATGAGTGCTGAGGGATGGAAAATAAGATCAGTCTCTTCATAAATAGAATGCAAGGATGGAATAGTGACATGCACACCTTTTTATCTGTTCCTGCTTTGTGTATAAAATGAGTTCAGACTGTAGGTACTGCTATTGATGCTAGAAACATCGGCTTAGAGGGGTTATGAGGATGTTCACGTGGATATATTTTCCCATCTAGTATGGCTGTAATACAGGGCAATGTTGCATTTATTAATGTAGTGTTTTAGTATGAATAATGATAATATTAAAGCATCAAGAATTAAATATAAATAATAACATCCTTTCTTTTGCTGTTCTAACGTCTCACATCGGTTGTGTCCACAGGAGATCCTCCCACCGAGGAGGAGAAGGCAAAGAAGGAGGCAGGGAAGCCTCATGTGGATGAGATTGTGCCGGTTTACCGGCGGGACTGTCACGAAGAGGTGTATGCCGGCAGCCACCAGTATCCTGGGCGCGGAGTCTACCTGCTCAAGTTTGACAACTCCTATTCCCTTTGGCGCTCCAAGAGCGTCTACTACAGAGTCTACTACACCAGATAAGCCCGACTAAAGACGCAGGGAGAGCCGAAGAGTGTTTGTTCATATTATGTGTGTGTAGGTGAAGATGTATGTAAAGGCAGCCTGTATCTGTGTGTGAAGGACTAATTGATCCGTTATGGTTGGAAAAGACCACCAGAGGGAGGCAGAGAGACGCATCTGGAGCCCTTACTGGAGATTTCACTGATGTATTCCGTTTGTGCAGGCGTGAACCAAGTTCCAGCCATGCTACACATCTTGTTTGAGCCTTTGGGTAAAAGGAGTGTGCATAACTGTTGTAAATTCACCAACTGCCCTTGCTGCACTTGCATACACAAAGCTGTAGGAGTGTCCTCTAAACCTTTGTGTTACCACTTTTTTTTTTTTTCTACCCCTCCGCTGAGCACACCAGCCTGGGACGTCCCAGTCCCAGCCATATTCTGAATCCCGTCCTTGTGCGACTGACATCTATTAAACGAGAGGAAGCTCGGCATGTCCAACACTGTGAGCTGAGTTTTCCTGTTTGTTGGAAAGAACGCCCCCCCCTTCCACCCGCCTCCGAAAAAGACAGACTGTTGGAAATCCAGCGCTACTGCAAAATGTTTCTTCATAACACTATGCCTTTTTCCAGAGATCCTCTGGTTCACACATTAAAAACATCAGTGGAGACAAACATAAACATGTTTTTTGTTGTGAAACAATCGTGTCGGTCTTTTCCAGAATCACTAAGCTCAGATGAAGTCAGGAGGCTGATGGGGTCAGAGCAAGTCATGGAAGTCTTTCCATGTCTTTGCTACCTTTTTGATTTTTCTCTTCATGACTGTATGACAGGCCGAATGCAGAACCGGTAATTTTTTTTTGGAGACTACTAGCATGCATATGAAGGACAGGTAATAGTATAAGGATCTCCTGGCCCCTTTAAACAGATGCAGTGCAGAAAAACTTTAAATTCAGATCATATTTAAATGCAGTTTTTCATCTCCAGGCTGCTGTGCCCTCTGTCCTTTGCTCTCTGTGGTGCATCAAACTGCTGACTTAAATTTTATATATTTTCGGAATGCCAGTAATCTCCAGCACCTGGCCGTAAAACTACCAACAATCCCGAACCGCTCTGTTACATCTGCAGAAATCTGAAAGGCATAAATATTTACTTTTTACTCTTTCTGTTGTGGTTTGCCTCAGAGAGCCGCCGATCTTCATCCCTATTGCTTAGAGAATTGTGTTCTGCATGATGTGTCGATATTTTTCAAAGCTAACCCCATTTCTGCATCCACGTGGTTTCTTTTGCCTCTGCTTGACGAATTGTTCTCCAAACGTTTGTTTAAACTGGGGGTTTGTTCAATGGCTGAAGGAAAAAGGTTCTTGTTTTTGGCTTTATTACACTGTGCTGTGTGTGTGTGTCCAAAGGTAAATAAGGGTCTGTTCATCAGTTTCCAGTCATTTAAATACACTCTGCTCGAAAGCATTTAGTGATTTGTTCATCTAATTGTCACTACGTATGGCTCAGTCAATGCCATTTCCTGTACCTGAAAAGGTGTTTGATTATTTTTTTTTTCTAACCAGTTGGTTTTAGTTGGTCAAGCCTTGTATGTAAATAATTAAATAAATGGGTTTATGTGTTGGGTTTTTAGACTTGGAGGAAGGAAACATTTTTGCAAATCGCTGCACTGTATTATAAGGTGAATGAGGTTGTTTTGCCCCATATCTTGTTAAAAGTACAAATGTATAAGACTATTGGTATGAAAGAGAAGCTCATCTTTATTTTACTTTTTGAGTTCATAAGTTGCTAAATCATTTTGGGCATATATTTAATCTTGATTAAACTTCATCTTCTGAACTGTGTCTGCTTATTATATGTACATGTTAAACTAGCTTGATTTTTCTGTTGAAATACAAGGATTTACTTGCGTTTGAATTAGAATTATAGTATACTAAGCTAGAGTTAGTGCAACAATGTAAAAAAAAAAAAGAAAAAAAGTCACTTATGCTTCAGATCTGAGTTCTTAACCTTGTTGTTACATAAGAATCAAAGGATGGAAGATGCAAATTAAGGACGCAAAGGGACATAAGGAGGTAAAACACAAGGAAAAAATAAGACTTGCTAAAAGAAACGATCTGAACAAATAAAGCAATAAAGAGAAGGAAGGATATACCAGGTGGATGGAGCTGGACCCTAAGGAAGAACAAGAATGCAGCTACACTGATAATGGGACAGAATATAAAGAATAAGATTTCCATAAATTATGACTTTTCAACACTTAAAGAGGAACTAGATATTACAAAAATCAATTTCTAGACATTTCCACACATAGTTTTTTTTTTCTTTTTTTTTTTTAAACCTTGTTTATTAAACTAGGAATGCTTTTCTAATCTAACAGCTGCACGTCCTCTCCAGTAACAAGATAACATTTGCATTTACTTTTCTAAATGTTTCCCTAGTGAGAGAAAAAAAAACAAAGGAAGCAATGATGGGAATGCAAGGACAGCAGAAAAACCTTGCCACAGCAAAACACCACCAGGCTTGTTCCTTTCCACACCACAGTTAAAAGAGCCATTTTATCAGACATGTTTTCCTTGGTCAGAAGGACAATCCCAGATCCTAATCATTTATAACAAGCATGTCTTCACTATTTTCACTATTAATTCCCAGGCGTGTCAGGAATCCAAAGCACTGCAAACAGTGGGTGTGTAATTTCACTTATCACCAGTGAGTGAGTTGGTAAGCCACTCTGCACATAAAAGAAGGAAGAAGTTTCTAGTTTGCTGAGTAATGGAGAAATTCTTGCCTTTATCACAAAAAGCAGTTCAGTAAAATATGCTGTGCTCACTAACAGACAGCAGGGGGCGGTATTGAGCGCGCTGGATTCATACAAGTTTACAAAAAATGAAAACACAACCTCAGCATAGATGGAGTTCAGCCCCACTAGTTTTTATTGTTGCTTTTTTTGTTTTCTTTTCTTTTTTGCTGAAAACCTATATTGATTTTTAATTATCTGCCAGGAATATTCATTATGACATCAACTTTATAGGTTTTCCGTTACCTCATAAGGTTTTTTTTTTTCTGATTTAAATATATTTGCAACCTTTGGTTAAATGCAACATTTGGACATTAGAGATTTTGAAGATAACAATATCCAAATTATTTAAGATACATATTAAAACATGAGGTAGAAAATAGGTAAGTTAGTTTGAGAATATTTAGCGTTTATTAGTATTTTTAAATTCATATATATAGTAATATACAACACGTTTAAAGTAGAGGTTGGTTTGTTCACTTAGATCATTTTTGGACTGATTTACTGATGGTTATTTGTGGTTTACCACTAGATTCTCTGATATTTTAACCAATAATCCATTAGTTTTGTTATGTTATTCATATCTAATACCCATTCATGATCTGCTGTGTGCAAGTGTTTGGGATAATGCTTAAAAAAAAAAAGAAAAAATAAGATTTATAAATGGGTCAAACAACTTGTATCCAACAACAAAATTATAATGAAATATTATGCCCTAAATGCTTCTTTTTTGAATGACTCAGAACTGGCAAAGCACAGTTAATGTTCTTTCAAACTTTACATAGATTTTGTTTGAGATCTAATAGAACTAGTATGAACTAAAAGTTACATGCAAGGTGTGTTTATTTATTAAGAACATCTGTTGTAGGGTGCTATGAAGCGATTTGCAAGTACACTATAAAGATTGAGGGGAAAAAAAGATCTGGAATATCTGTGTTAAAGCAACACATATATTCGTTGTATGCGTTGTGCTGTGTCTGTATTTTCATGTGATGCACTAAAGGTCAGGGTACCGTATCTCTAGCCCAGTGATTGCTAGAGATAAACATTGACCCTCCCATGACCCTGTAAGGATGAGTAGTTAGAGACAATGGATGAATGGATTCACTGATCACCTTACTGTTTTATAGCTTTTGTCCCAGTTTAATCTGGATTTTAGTTCTACGTGTCAGCTGATGTTTGTAGCATTAAAAAGAAGTTGGATTTAGCTTTTTATGTTAAAAGGGGGTGAAATAAGTTTTTCTGAAAACCTTCTGAAGAAAATAATAAGAAATAGACAATAATAAAAGGAGCGCTACTACAGGTCATACATCCTGTAGGTCATACAAAACAACAATACAACGCCAATAACATGTGCAATGTATAATGTGCAGTTTGCCATTTGACACCCAGTGCAACAACTATATATATAAAACTATATAAATATCCACCCTGTGCAATAAGCCGGTATAATGATCCTACTACAGAAGAAAAAAAAAGAAGCTGTCATATGTGGACGCACTGTATATACTGTATATATCCCATGCACCCTTTTCTTCCTTTGGCACATTCTCCTTTTTTTGACTATTTGAGCCGATGTAACAATTAAATTCTCCAAAATCTCAAAATCGCCCTCTGTGACGTCAA